AAATAATATTTTGATACAGTGTCACAGTGAGATCAGACAAATTAATTGTATAATAAAAACATTCTTTGATTTTTGTCAGCTTTTTATAGAAAAATAATAGAAAAAATATATGAATCTTAAACAATGTAGCTATATAATTGAAAAATAAACTTAACATTTTATATATCTACTTCATCTGGTATCATACACAAATTATGACAAGCATTAAATTTTATTATAGAATAGAATGGCAATACTGCAGAAGCACCAGTGCATACCTAACATAATCTCGTTCCTTAAGCGACCTCTCGCATTTCCGAATTTAAAAGTACTACCGTCCGCAGTAACTTCGCGTAGCTATTTTGTTTGTGCCATCCACAAGCACCGCGAACATGCTTAAGTTGCGTAACGCAATATTCATAAGAATAGCCAAAAGTATTCGAAGACAATGCTTCAATATAGGATTCGAATACTTGTGAATACAAAGTGGGTATTTGAATATTGGAATTCAGAAACAGCATTCAGAATACAGAATACCGCGTATTGAACAAAATAGTATTTAGTCGAATACCAAATATCAAGCACACAAACGTATTCGAATACCAGCCAAATGTAATCTGAATATTATACAAAATACCAAGTATTCGAATACTACCCAAGGTGCTCCCGTGTTTAGGATTCTGTCGAGGAGTAAATATTTGGTGATTAATCTTGTACAGCCTGAAAGAATTATAGTGATCTACTAATGCTTTACGAATAATAACAAGGATTTACAGGTATTTGCAAACATTTGCAAGGATTATCAAAAATTTACATCGGGTTTACAGGAGTTTACAAGGATTTACAAGGGTTTAGAAGGATTTACATGTATCAGTGATTTATGGTAATTTATTGATAGCGCTTGAGCTGCTTTTTTGACACAAAATAAAAAAGAGGTGAATTTAAAAGGAAAATCAAGTGTAAAAACCCAGTATGTACTTGTTGAACTTTTTAACGATTTTTTTTTCTATTTTTCTGATAACATGTATAACTTGGCCATCCTGTATAGGAATTGATAATGATTCGTTAGAGATTATGGTGATTTATTGTGATTTACGAGGATTTGTAGTGATTTATCAAGATTTATCGGTGATTTGTGGGAATTATTCATAAAAAGGTATTTATGGTAGACACAATTTTGATATTTACCACTCAGTTTCTACCTACACTGCTTCATTATAAAAAATAATTGATTGTGAAATGCGTCAATACAGTTTATTCTGTATATTTACATCTGGTCTACTTGTTCTTTTAGGCCGGTTCTGGAAGACAAGTCTAAACGTGACACATTTCTGACTGTGAGGATTTTACAACTTTCATGATGGTCACTGTATTACTACGATGCTCAAAATATACAACGTAGCCCAGGTTATTCAGGAAAACGAGGGTTGAATAGGCACGAACAGGTAGTCTGGTGCCCGGACATCGGACGTCAGCCCTCTATTGTACTCGGCAGGTTTCACGAAATTTTTGATACGGATTAAAAACCGCTGAACGTGGCTTGAATTCCGATTTTATTTTGTTTTACAGGATGTTCTCGACAGGACGGGGCTGGTATTTATTTACAGATATTTGATACGTCTGTTCTAAAAATAATTGCTTCGGATAATAACGATAGATTACCTCGTGCCGTAGGAAGAGTTAATCCGGAAATCGATTGTACCATGCGGCACATTTTCTACTTGGAGTTCGGCTTTAGAATTTCTGCCTGATTACATTTTTTTTTTTGAATAATGACCAGGAGCTTATGAAACCAAAAAAACGAGGTTTGAGCAATTCGTATTTGTACTTCCTATGCCAAAAGTGGCGAGGAAGTATTGTAATCGCGAAATTGAGATATTATATTTGGTTGTATTATGACATGATCACGAAAAACCATATCACTCATTTCCATCAGTCTGTCTGTATGTCTGTCAATTTTATAACCGCCTATAACTTGAGAAGTGCGTCGGTAGCAGTAACTACTCATTAAATATTTAAAAAAAATATATTTTTTATATATCCATAAAATATTCATTATAGATATATGTAGTATATACGTATATAATTCATATATTTTCGCGATATTTTTTACAAACATTTAGAAAATATATGAGGATAACTTTTTAAGCATCAATTTGACGAAATATCTAATATTTTTCGTAAATATTCAGGAAATATATGAAGCAACAGAATTTCAAGCATAAATCTGATACATATTTTCAGTGTAAACAGAAAATTGTTCATTGGTTATTTTAGAAAAATCTGTAGGAATCCTTTTATAAAATTGGGTTTATAAAGAAAATTCATTCTAGATAAAATTTAATTTGCTACAAAAATATCATTAAAAAACATTCTAAGCCTCTTCTGCATCATGCAAATTCACTCCTCTGAAAAAAAACAAATATACTAATTATGAGGTATTATTGCTATTTTCCAGCGGTCTTTTTTCGAGAGAGATATTCTCCCGAACTGCTCTAGAAAGTGTATAAAGGGTGTTCCTTAATGATATATGAATATTTAAGGGTGTGAATCTACATGAAAAATTAATGTTAGTTTGCTTTATAAACTATGGTCCAAAAATGTTTAATTACAAAAACTCGAGGTGTTGAAGTATTAGGAAAAATATGGAAATTAATTGATATTTTCAGAACCGCTTCTGATATTTCACTGATATTTAGTACGTAGTGGAAGTTAATAAAGTTGCATATTTAACAATGCAAAAATAATTTTTAGCTTTAACAGTGGCGTGCGTACGGGTATTGACTTCGACATTAAAAAAAAAATGGTACGCCAATGGTTTTTTGCCATTTTTGAATTCCACGTTCAATTTAAAACAAATGATCTCTCTTGAACTGTTTTCCCTCGATGCGCCATTTTTGAGAAAAAAATAAAAACCGTTCCATTGTCCGAGAAAATTAATGTAATAATTGAATAATGCAATTTAGCAAATAAATATCTAGTTGCTCTGGAATATGTCACTGGCTTTTGACATCTGACAGGTGTCTGTTATTCAAATCTGTTCGCTGTGACATCTTTTTCATTATTTAGTTTTTACAATCTTGTTAATAATGGTGAATTATTCAAATGCAGAAATGGCGGAAATGGATTACGTATATGGTCTTGCCGACCGTAATGATAAGCAAGTCAGACGGATTTATTTATCACCAGAGATATCTTGATCGTGCTTTGCCAGATAGTCGAACCTTTTCTAATATTCATCATCCTCTTGTTGAAACTGGTTCTGTCCGATAAGGAACATCTGAAGGTATATCTCTAAGTGTGAGAACACCTGAAATTGAGGAAGCAGTGCTGCACAAAGTCGAAGAACATCCTGAAATGAGTACGAGGAAGATCGTTAGACACTTAAATATTTGCTATCAAGTTGTTTGGAGAATTTTAGTGGATTTTTTATTATATTCTTACCATATTTTAAGAGTACAAGCATTACTTCTCATTGATTTTCCAAGACGTGTGACCTTTTGTCAGTGGTATCTTCAAAAAATTACACAAAATCCGCAAGTCGAATCAATGATTCTGTTCACCTATGTCGTAATCGAAACCCATTTCCAACACCAATTTTCGGTTAACGTATGGGCAGGAATTATTGGCAACCACTTTATTGGCCCATTCTTCTTGCCGGGACGTCTTAACGGACAGACTTACCTCAATTTTCTTCAACAACAGTTGCCTTTGCTGCTTGATGATGTTCCGTTAGTAATAAGAAACAATATGTGGTACATGTGTGATGGTGCACCAGCGCATTTCAGTGTAGCGGTTCGTAATTATTTACAAACTGTTTATCCAAATCGTTGGATTGGCCGCGGTGGGCCCCAAGAATGGCCACCAAGGTCCCCAGACCTCAACAGTTTAGATTCCATTTTGTGGGGCTATCTTAAGACACTAGTGTACACAAGTCCCATTGACACTGTAGAAGAATTAAGAGAAAGAATAGCAGCTTGTGATAGAATAAAAAACACTCCATGGATATTTCAACGAGTGCGCAATTCCATGAGGAGGACGGAAGCATGCATACTAAGTGAAGGGGGCTATTTTCATTAGTTTTTGTAATCATTTTGTTGGTTTCAATGTTATGTTTATGTTGTCAGTTGTTGTTCATTACCCCTGATGTGTTTAATTTTTCTAATTAAATTAATAATAATTTTGCAAGTTAGACAAGACAATAGAACTATTTTTATTTTTTTACTCAAAAATGGCGCATCGAAGGAAAACAATTCAAAAGAGATCATTTGTTTTAAATTGAACGGGGAATTGAAAAATAATTTTTATTTGGCCAAAAACCATTGGCGTACTATTTTTTTCTTAAAAAATATCGAAGTCAATACCCGTACGCATGCCATTGTTAAAGCTAAAAATCATTTTTGCATTGAAAAATATGCAACTTTATTAACTTGCCCTACGTACTAAATATCAGTGGAATATCTGAAGCGGTTTTGAAAATATTAATTAATTTCCATTTTTTTCCTAAAACTTCAACACCCCGAGTTTTGTAAGGAATCATTTTTCGCTGGAACATAGTGGTATGTTTCAGAGATTCCTGCCCATTTTCAGACATTGTTTGGAAGGGATGAACATTGTAGGCATTTGGGGTCAGTGAAATACCTTCTATTATTAAGAAGCTGCTGATCTCAGCTATACTAAGCACTGGTTAGACATAATTAGTTACACACATTTTCCCTGCTATGGAAACAGAAATATGAGAGATTTGCTTCATATAGTTTGATATGCAGAGGTCGACGATTCATCGTACCTAAGTGAATCACGATTCGATTTCGCCTTTTGACACGATTTGACTCATCCCTTTTCTTTGAAACCGCAAACGAAGACATGGGAAATATAGAGTCAATCTACTTGACGCTATTTTTGAGGTCACACAAACTGAATCCCGAGCCCATTTATTAGGGCGATATCCCGGTTTTGTCATATCGGCAGCGATTTTAATTAATTAATACAGTTTTTGTGGGATCCAGTAAATAAAGCAATACATATCGACATTATTTATTATAACTAGATATTTCGCTATTTCACACATATATCAAATTCTAGCCTGTTTAGAAACTTTATCATACACTTCTGGAAACGCTTGATGACATTTCATGTTGAATCTCAACTTGTCATAAAGCGTATGATCAAACATTGCCCTGAATTCTTCTCTTGACATATAGGTATCAGCATACAGCATTTGAAACCTGAAAAATAAATAAGTAAATAAAATTATTGAGGTGTATCCAGCTATAAATCACTTTCATCAAGTTACAAGTAAGCTCAAAAAGTCTGAAATATCATCAAAGCAACTAGTTCTTGGGCACTTTGAGCCGAAATGCATTAACATTTACTAAGGGACAAAGAAAATAGCTAACTGAATTTCCTTGCCTAAGTTTATCCAATTGGTCAGCCAGGTAATGTACTTTTATCCCGCTTTTATTAGCTTGGTCTGTTAAAGAAGTTTGATTAACTTGAAACTTGGATGGACCGATGACAACGCAATAATTTGATAACAGTTTTCCATTCTCGTTATTAGGACCACCAGGATTGACAAATTCTTTTATAGATCCTCTGTAGGGGAGTAAGAGAGATAGAGCTAGCGCGCGATCTGCGCATGCGTACAGTTTCGGACTTACTCTTTGTTGATTCGGGTATTTGGTACAGTACAATGGAGGCAGATACTTTTTCAAGGTAGTGCATTCTCAACTTGTTCATTGCGAATGTTGCCATTAATCCTGAGTTGGTCTTCGACCGTCCACAAGATGCAAGATTGAACAGTCGATCATGCAGTCATTTATATAGGCTCGCGACTGTTTGCTGCTCGACAAGCTTATGTAGCACTTAGTCGTGCAAGATCTTTAGACGGTATTCGGATTGAAGAACTTGATTGCTCTAAGTTAACAGGAAAAACCCCATGCAACAGTGAAGCTTTAAATGGAACGATTAGATTACGAAATGATTCGCAAGAAATTTCAATACCACATGTCCACATAAAACTAATTGATAAATCGAACCAAAAAATTAAAAATACATAATAGTTTAAAAAAACTAACAAACACACTTTTATAGCTAACCTAAATAAAAAGGAGAACATAATTTTTAATTACAAAGAGATTATATTACAGAGATGGTCGAACAATCAATCATTATTAATGACCTCAAAATAAAATTATAATAAAATTTAAGTTATTAACAGAATAAAAAGCATGGGGTGCATTTTACTACATTTTCATAAGTATCATGTCAAAGATAGTTGCCAATAGAATGATTGTAACATTTATAGTAATATATCGAGCACCCCACGCATTTGACTCTGAATTGAATTATTTTGTTAATAACTCAAATTTTATTATAATTTTATTTTGAGGTTATTCATTATTTGTTCGACCATCTACTACTGAAATATAAACCCTTTGTAATTCAAAATTATTTTCTACTTTTCAGTTCGGTTAGCTATAAAAGCGTGTTTTTTTAGTTTTTTAAAACTATTATTTATTATTATCTGGTATAATCATTAAGGTTTCATTTTTAGATCGCCAGTTCTGACATTCCTAGATTTTTATTTTCGGGGGGCAGAGATAAGCGATATCGCTTATGGAATACAGCCGACCACACGGCAAGGTATGACAGAGCGCATAAAGAATACTATCGAACAAATTTCTGCTGCCGAAATCGAAACTGCTGTTAAGTCAGCATGCGGAAGAGTGCAACCATGCATGGACTTAAAGCACCCGACCATACATCAATAACTCCTCCAAATCACTGGAAAATCAAATAGGTACTTTTTAAATAAAAAGAAGTTTATAAATTTGAAAGCTACTTTGCGAACGACGCGATCTCAATGGTTTTGACGTTTGCGCTAATTTATTTATAAAAACTTCTTTTTTAATATCTTCAAAACCGTCAACGAGAGTAGGTGGTAGACGGTCTCTGACTGTCGAACGCGGAGGTACCACCTGGCGGATCTCGTCCCCACTTTTCCCCTGTATCCCCCTATAACCCCTCGGTACCCAATGGGCGTTTAGGCTTTAGGCGTTTGTAGTAGTTGGAGTATAAAAAAATCAAAAGTCTTTACTTAAAATTAACGTGCACTAGTGGCGGAGATACAGGGGATTAGTGGCACTATTTTTCCAAATAAAAATAGTACGCCACTGTTTTTCATTTCGAAACGAGCAATTTTTCGTATTTTACCTTCAATTTGCTACAAGTAATTACACTTGTACTTTTCCCTACTGTCGTAAAAATAAAAGTAAGACAAATTAGATCATTCATGAAGAAATACAATTAGATTCAAAATAAAATAGGAGGCCTTGATACCAACTTGACGTCTCTTGGGAGATAGTTTGTCAAAGTTATGTGTTATATGGTTGTTATTTTTATTTTTATTTTATTTATTTAGCAACATCCAACAGCCATAGCCAATTACAGGATGGATAAACATGAAAATATAAACAAATGCATGTTGTGGATGTATGTAGAAAAAGCTAAAACGCTGCAAAAAAAGCGTTCTAGCTTTACCTACCCAGCACTCAACAATCACACCAGCAAGCATTAACGAAAATAAGCATTAATGTCTCCCAAAGTCGCACAAAACGCAAATATATCTAAAACGCTATTAACTGAATTATAATTACGGCACATTATATATATATATAGGGGAAAACTTAAGTATGTCAGTCCTAAGCCTGGTTAAGTAAAAAGTTAAACTAGTTCGTGACGCTAATCTAGGAATTAAGAAGTTAAGTTGTTCTAAGATGACACTGGAGTCAATAATGCCATGGATGAGCTTGTGAATAAACTTAAGTGAATTCATTTTGCGTCTGCTCTCTAAATTATAGATTTTGTGTCTCACCATCAACTCACTATGAGGAAAGCCAATAGCGGGATATATCCCGTCAGCTTTGTATGAGAGGTATTTTAAAAACTTTCTTTGAACGGACTCTAAGCGGTCAATATATATTTGATGATGAGGATACCATACCAGGGACGCATACTTAAGCTTAGATCTTACATAAGCATAGTACAGTATTTTCAGTGTAAAGGAGTTGTGGAAATCACCTGTATTTCTTACAATAAAACCATACGCCTTTGATGCAGCCACAACAGCATTTTCAATGTGATAGGAGAAGGAAAGTTTTCTGTCAAATGTGACTCCCAAGTCATTAATTGTACTAGGTTTGTTTAGTTTCTTGTCACCAATACTATATTCATACATCATTACCCCTGTTTTTAAAGTAAACGACAGAACGTGACACTTAGCAGCATTCAAAACAAGTCTGTTTTCACGACACCAGCTGTCAACCCTTACAATGTTGCATTGCAAGGGATGACAATCGTCAATGTTAGAGACTCTACAGAAAAGTTTCATGTCGTCAGCATATATAAGAAAATCGACATCGATAACTTCAGAAATATCATTTATGAACATAATAAATAACAGAGGTCCCAAATTAGATCCTTGAGGAACACCGGACATTACAGGGTATTCGCTTGACTTATGTCCATTGCACATAACATATTGTTTCCTATGACATAAATAAGATCTGAAAAATAGCAACAATGCATCTGAAAGACCAAATCTAGATAACTTATTGAGTAGAAGGTTATGGTCTAAACTATCAAACGCTTTAGAGAAATCAGTATATATTACATCCGTTTGAAGTTGTCTATCGATTGATTCACAAACATATTGAGTAAGATGTAGCAAGTTAGTAACTGTGGACCTGCCCTTCATGAAACCGTGTTGACTGACGCAGATAGACCTGCTTACATGAAAATATAGCACAGTTTGTATCACTATTTCGAATGTTTTAGCGAAATTAATGATAATTGTGATAGCCCGATAGTTTTCTACATAATTCCTCTCACCTTTTTTAAAAACAGGAGTTACCCTAGACAACTTCCAAATAGATGGAAAGTAATTATTTTTCAGAGAGAGATTGAAAATGATCATGAGTGGATATGCTAAAATGGACGCACAATCTCTCACAAAAAATGCAGGTATTTGTTATCGTTACTGCTACCATTTTTTTTTGTAAAAGTCAAGCCAAATTGTAAAAGTAAGTCAAAAGTTTCTTTTTTCTAATTTTAAGTTTTGTGAAATGGAATTTAGCAATGATGAGTACGCCGATATTATTTTTGTGTACAGGTTCTGTACTAGAAATGCCTGAGCGGCTTCTCGGGAGTATCAACGTAGATTTCCTAACAGACGCCAAAATGTGCAATGTCTGCCACCCGGCGACAAAATGCAATGGCGAAATTTTTGTGAGTGGTTACTGCAAATGCATAATCAAAATGCAGATTTTATTGATTTTGCTTTGTGGTCAGATGAATGGCTTTTTACGAGGAATGGAACCCTTAATTCTCATAATGAACATCTTTGGTCGTTAGAAAATCCCCGTTCTGTAAGAATCCACTCGTATCAACACAGATTTTCTAGAAATGTCTGGTGCGGCATTTTCAATGGCCAACTGTTTATGCACATATTGCTACAACGTTTACATGCAAACTCATTTTTGGAGAATTACATAGAAAATGTGACGAATGTGGTATCAGCACGACGGTGCCCCACCGCATGTTCGTCGTGACATAACCGCATGGTTAAATAATTATTTTAGCCAACGATGGATCGGAGGAAGACCCGTACATTGGACTGCGAGGTCTACTGATTTGAACCCCCTAGATTTCTTTTGTGGGGCGCTTTTAAACAACTGGTGTTTGCTGAACAAATTAATACTGTTGATCAGTTACAAGAAAAAATAGATAATGTGTTTCATCAAATTCAAGAAACAACAAATTTTGCGGAAGTACGTTTTTCTTTATTAAACAGATGCAGCACTTGTCTCCGTCAGAATGGTGGTCTTTTTGAACATTTATTGAAATGGGTCTTAATTATCTAATTTGTTTTTTTTTTATTTTAACGAAAACAATGCCCTCTAGGAAAAAACCCAAGAGTAATTATTTGTAGCAAATTGAAGGTAAAATTCGAAAAATTGAGCGTTTCGAGAAAAAAACAGTGGCGTACTTTTTTTATTTGGAAAAATAATGCCACTAATCCCCTGTATCTCCGGCACTAGTGCACGTTAATTTTAAGTAAAGACTTTTGAATGTGGATAATACAATCCACATACCAAATTTTAATTCATTCCAGTTGATAGTTTTGAAGATATTAAAAAAATGTTTTTTATTTTTAAACTTCACCCCCCGCCGGCGCCGCCGCGTATATTTTTAATGAAGCCCTCGAGGAAAAAATGTTACATAGAAGACCCCCCCTAAACATGTGGTCCTGTGTATGATGTTTTATTTTTGGTGACGACTTGTGAATCAGGGTGTATAACACAATTTGTACCCTTGAAAGATCTAAAAAAGATCAGTGGATAAAAAGCACAGTATTGCCTGAATTCTTCATATTCCAAAGCCAATTGAGTTAAATTATGAAGTATAATCGAAGTTTGTATTTTTCATTATCAGGCGACACTTACAACATCTATCACTTATAAGAAGTGTAAAAATAAATTTCCAAGCAAAATATCTTAAAATCGTACCATATTGATACATTTTATGTAACTATATGTAGCTTGAATTTTCATTTATATCATATATATATATATATATATATATATATATATATATTATCAATGACCTCCCTAAATGCTTAACCTGTCCTTCTCTGTTGTTTGCCGATGATTTAAAAATATATGCTCAGATTAACACCATTGATGACTGTCTAATCTTGCAAGCTGACCTGAATCATATATTTGAATAGTGTTCAACTAATTATTTATGAATGTTAGCAAATGCAAAACCTGTTCTTTTACCAGGAAAACGAATCCAATAGTTTTTGATTACACACTGGAAGGTGTCAATTTGATGCGTTGTTCAGAAGTAAGATATCTAGGTGTGTTGTTTGATGTTAAATTAGGATTTACAGGTCATATTAGTACAATAGTATCATCCGCTATAAAAAGTCTCGATTTTTTTATAAGAAACTGTAAATCTTTCGGTAGTGGTAGTGAAACGGCACTGAAGGCTTTATACTGCACCTTGGTGCATTCTAAGCTGGAATATGCATCTAGTGTATGGCATCCATATTACCAAATCTATAATTGAAAGTGTACAAAGGAGATTTCTTAAATACTTGACTTTGAAATTAGATGGTGTTTATCAAAAATCGTGGGACTCCCCAATCAAAGATGTTGCTCAGATTTGAAATGCATCCTCTTGAGATGAGAAGAGTTTGTAATAGTTTAAAATTCCTTTACAAACTCGTACACAGTGATGTTGATTCTTCAGCTTTATTAGCTAAAATTGATTTTCATGTACCGTCCCGCATTTCCCGAAGATTTCTCGCTTTTTACTTAAAAACACCAAATTCTAATGTTATGATTAAGTCATCGGTGTACTTTATGTGCTCCAGCTGTAACACCATAGCTGATAATTGTGACATTCATCATGACAAAGTCAAAGATATATTAGCTGTATTTAGCGACTACTATTATTCCATTTATAACATTTAAGACATGTAGGTGAGTAGGTGTAGCTATTCACTTTTTTCTTTCATTTTTGTTCTTCAGAAACTGGCTATGATTGTAGTTAAAAATACTGTCAAATTGTATTCAACTACATTGTCCTTTAAATGGATGTATCTATTGGGCAATAAATATATTATTATTATTGTTATTATTATCCCCTTTCTTCAGGAGCGATTATTCAAAAAGACACTTAATTCATTCATTCAATCAATTACTTTGGAAGTAAAACTTACCCGTGAACTTTTCTCACATACTCTTCAAGTTTCCTCGTGCTCTCTTTAGGTTTGAAGTTCTTGACAGCTGGTACTCCATATACTCCAACATCCACGTACAACTCAGCATTCTGCATTTGTTTTGGATGCACCATTCCAGGATTAGGAGGTAGCAGAAATGGACACAACCATATGGGAAATATATTTACTGTCTCTTTGAATAATTTGACACTATCTTCGAGTTTCTCAATCGGCACTAACATATCTTGAATTACGTGGTTGTTTTCATATAGCTTCTTTATTGCTTCTGTTTGAGTTAACTTGAGTAACGATATTTTTGGGGGCATCAACCATCCCAGGAGCAATCTGAATATCGAGTTGTTGCCAAAGGGAATGATATCCTAAAATGCATCAGAAATAATTATATTTCATCATGCATGCGTATCCATCATTTTCAAGCTTATCATCAATGTGGCAGTAACTAATAGATACAAAAAAGATTAAATGCCTCAAGTTGTAGCTCAGGAATAAAGCTCATCGATGCCCATTTACTTTACCGGTTTTCGAGAAAGTTGGGAGGTAATCAGGCAAGTGAAATTGTACATATTTTTCAGCTGAGTAGACTTGAAACACAAAATTGTGGTTCTCCACAAGGGCAGTTTATCGTTGTGCTTGAACAATAGTAGTAATTTTGCCAAATATTACTCCCAGGAAGGCACTGAAGGGCGGCATAGGCGTAGGTACGAAACATTTACACCAAATGAAAGGCACACATTTCATACTGACTTTAATATTGCCGTCTCGATTACACAAGAAACAAGGTCAATATTTGTTGCGTAGCAACAAACTCTGGTGGAGAATATTTCTGTGGCAAATATACTAAGTGACATATAAATCCGAACACCCAGTTTAAATGGTTTTATTTTAATAAAAGTTGGTGAATGTATTTATCTTACTGTAAATAACAAGTGAAAAAATTTTCAGCCTCATCAGTTGGACATTCCGGTTTTAATACTGCTTTTTTTCACACTGTTGGAGTTATGGTTTGGGGTGCTATAGCTTATGGTTCCAGGTCACCTTTATTCTTCATCAGAGGTAACATGAATGCGCAGCGTTATATCCACGAAGTTCTAGAACCCCATCTTTTACCCTATCTTGACACCCTGGCAGATCCAACTTTCCAACAAGATAATGCCCGACCACATGTTGCAAGAGTCACAATAGACTTCTTTCAACATAATGATGTCACATTGTTACCATGGCCACCAAGATCTCCCGACTTATCCCCAATTGAGCACGTGTGGGATATGATGGGTAGGAGATTGCTCAATTTGCAACGTCCTCCTCAGACTCTAGAAGCACTTCGAGAGGAGTTGGTGGTTGCCTGGAATGAGATGCCACAGGAGGACATTGACCACCTGATCAGAAGCATGCCTAGGCGCGTTGGAGAATGCTTCATTAAGTACTTATACAAAATTTTATTGAAATAAAACCATTTAAACTGGGTGTTCGGATTTATATGTCACTTAGTATAGTTACAAGAGCATTAGTCAATTTTGTCGACTTATATAGTCAGCTCGAGGCTTTTTTACTTAGAAGATTAGATGAATTTGATCCTAGCCTCAATTTTGAATGTGATTTTAATTGCATTTCCTTCATACGGGGGTGGTTTCAAAAATAGGTATCCCACATTTTTTTCAGGCACAAGGAATTTTTTATTTGAAAAAACGAATTCACCATTGGAAACGTTGATCTTTAAGTTATATTTCTCCATAGTCGTCATTTTTACTACGCATTTTTTTTAGACGTGAAATCCACTTTTGCACGCCCTCCCGTTTAGAACTGTTCTTTGCCACTCCTCGTCCGTCTCGAACCGTTGACCGCCTAGATGCTCCTTCAATTTCGGAAACTCTATAGCTATTTTCGAGTTCTAAATTCAGTACTGTCACAGAACGGTTCTGGAACTGCGCAAGACTAAATGCGTAAAGGGGAAGATCTCTCAAGCAGTCCCTGAAATATCAGAATTTTGCCAAAACCCGAACAGCCTGAATCCAGGACTACGGAACAAAGAAGATAATAGAAGAGAACATTTGTCAGTAACTATAACCACACTTTTTTCTTATAAAGTTTTTCACAAAAGTTTTGTACGCTGGGTGTAACTGCTTCAAGTTCATCATGTCAAACGACGGTGATGATGACGAATCAGTATCCAAAATGATCTGCATTGGATCCATTTGTCCACTTTTCGTTTAATTTTAAATAGAAAACACTCCTCAAACCGCAAAAAAGTAAACAGCATTTGAAGCAAAACACGTCAAATAATTTTAATGAAATTGACAGAAGGAACACGCATGTGAAAAATCAGTTCAAAAATGGTCCCGGCAGTAAAGCAAGAACTGCTTGAACGATTCTCGAACCATTCTAGAACTGAACCAGAATATAACCCGAACACCAAATTTCAGTTCAAAGAATCCAGCAGAAACCCGAACAGGTCGGTTTCTTCTGCGCATGCTCCTGATAGTTCTAGTTCAGTAATGATAAAAGCCCGAAGAAACCTTGTCAGGGCTGTACGGGGGATGGGCAATGACTTCCCAGCCAAATCGCTCGATTCAGTCCTTCGCTTGTTGTGAGATATGAGGATGTGCTCAAGTGGCAGTGAATTTCTGTGGGAGGCAACGTTTTACGCATCGCTGCCGGGCTGGTACTGACCATAGCAAATAGGCGCTTTTTGTTGGGATCGGAGGTGGGGAGCCTAGCATCACCCGCGGCAAAAAGCGTTGGGAACCTTATTTTTGAAATAACCCTCGTATAATTTGTGAGGTCGCCAAATATCTAAATTAACATTGCTCTTCAAGACGTTGAAGAATATTTTGAGATTAGTTTTTTAAAGCGATTTCAGCCTTGTTTTCAATGCCAAAATTGGCAAACTTTTTGTTTTCGCAGACCCTTCCAGTACCCCTCAACCCCGCTAGTGACTGTTGGCATGCGAGGGGCGGCGAAGTAGTTTATAAATCACAAGGACACCATGAAAGTAAAACACCGGAAGCCGTAAAGGGCAGGTAAAACTCTAAGGCGTGGTCTAATGTCTTATTTACCTGAATCTCCCAAAATAAGGATCTGGTATGTCGGTGATAATAATCTCTAAGGGGAATGTATTCTACACCAGATAATTTCCCATTGAGAAAAGTTTTTACGTGCAGGAAGAACCACGGCTTATACCATAATCCTACTGGGTTTAGCTGTAAAAGATTTAGGTTTGTTAGGAAACAATACGTTCGAGTAGTTGCAGGAAACAGCTTAACTGCAAAAATAAAATAAGATTAGAGCAATCTGGGAATCCTATACCGGGTGTTTCAAATTCGATCCACACGATTCGGTTCTTCTCGGAAACAGTAAGGGCCGTATTGTCAGGGGTTCCTACAACTATAGGACGCCTTCATGGCTGCCCCGATTTTCATAGTCTTTTCTCTCCTTCAGAAAGACTGGGGAATTTCTAGATTTCTACTCTTCCGTGTCAGCGTCAGCGCTCCGCTATTGTGAGGCTTTTGTTTTTATTTTTTTTATACTCCAGCTACCACGAAGGCCTAAGGCCTAAACACCCATTGGGTACCATGGGGCTATAGGGGGATACAGGGGAAAGGGGGGGACGCCACACGGACTCTGGCGAGGGAACACGTGTGCATGCAACATGCACACATTCTGGCTCCGCCTACGATATCCGTCGGGTGGTACCTCCGCGTTCGACAATCAGAGACCGTCTACCACCTACGGACAATCACAACATCCATAGTCAAGAGTAAAATTTCTCCTGGGACGGGACTCGAACCCGCACAGCGCACGGCGACTGATCAGGAGACCCAAGAGTCTACTACTGCGGCCATCGCTGCTGCCTGCTGTTATCTTTTTGAATTGCAGGAAATTTCAGGCTGATATAACAGATGATATAAATCAAAAACATGAAAAATTTGATATTTGTAACATAACCTCAAAATAAAGCGCTGACACGGAACAATAAAAAAGGCGTTCTACAATTGTAGGAGCGACTAAGATACGAACTTGCCTAAATGGCGGTTGGTTAATTAAGCCCTTTCTTTGAGACAGTGCTTTTCTTTAATCTCCCCCTCCCATTAGATTTTTTGAACGGATCAATTCGAATAATTAAAACTTGAGGTAATGAACTTAATGGTTGTATACCATATTTTAGAGTAAAATTGACAGATGAAAATGTCAAGATGGTCGCTGGGCGTCATCTTGGAAAAAAAAATATGAAAACAAGGGTCTTGTGGCACATCATTTTGCAGCTCCTGACGAGTACGTTATAACCCTAGAATATAAAGTCAATACCTTTACCTACTACAAAATGATGGTACATTTAATAATTACTTGAACACAAACCCACTAAGATGCATGTCTCTACAAATAATTGTAATTCCCTGCCGTATCCACAGCAACAGCGATAAAAACTTGTTTTGTTATTTTTTCTTGACAGTGACAAGAATATCAGTACGAAAACAAACATCATTGTGCAGTTAAAATATTCTTATTTAGTTTTCGGTTTTTGTGCTAGATACTGTATGAACTATTTTTAAAATGGTCAATTCTCGTCGATTGGAAGAAAAAATCGAAGCGATTTTTATTTATAGTGCGACGCGTAACTTTCACGAGACGAAAGGATTTTTAATGATCGTTTCCCGAAACGTCCTATCTGTAGAAAGTATTTAAGGGAACTTGTATCTAAATTTACAGCTACTGGTAGTGTAAACAACAAAAAAAACCCAGGTCATCCGACCATCCCGGAAGAAAAGCAAGTTCAAATAATTGGTGAGATCATAGTAACAGTCCACTTCCTCCATCGTTAATGTATGTGAGGTTTGTCCTTCTACTGTACGGCGACTTTTGAAAAAGAATAAGTATCACCCATATAAAATTCAAATGGTACATCAGCTAACTGAAGATGACCCTGATCGAAGAACAGAATTCTGCGAGACTATGACGGAAACCATTGCACGGCATCCTACCTATATCCGAAATATTTGTTTAAGTGATGAATGTACATTATTTCTCAACAACAACAATGTGCATAGACAAAATTGTCGTTATTGGAGTGACACCAATCCTCACGTCTTCCGGGAAACTCATACTCAATATCCACAAAAAATTAGCGTTTGAGCTGGGATATTGGGAAATCATATTGTGGGGCCTATATTCATCGAACAAAATTTAACCGGGGAACTGTATTTGGATATGGTGGAAAATACTATTGATCCTCTAATCATCGAAATCGTCGAAGCGAATCCTAATGAATTCGATACTGATATTGTATTCCAGCAAGATGGTGCTCCACCACACTACTACAGACAAGTTAGGAATTATTTAGATAACAATTTCCCCAGACGTTGGATTGGCCGTCGAGATCCTGTGGAATGGCCAGCTCAATCGCCAGATTTGACACCTTTAGACTTTTTTTATGGGGCTATTTGAAGCAAAAGGTGTACGACACTGAACCTGCTTCAATATTGGATATACGGCTGAGAATAACAAATATTTGTAGAAATATCGATGTTACTATGTTTGAAAATGTTCGACGCGAAATTACGGACCGGCTGTTATTATGTCAAGAACTTCAAGGCAACCATTCCCAGCATCTCCTAAACTGAACTCAACCTACTTATTCGAATTATCAAGTTAAATGTTAATGTATTCAGGTAATTATTAAATGTACCACCATTTTGTAGTAGGTAAAGGTATTGTCTTTATATTCTAGGGTTATAAAGTACTCGTCAGGAGCTTCAAAATGATGTGCCACAAGACCCCCGTTTTCATATAATTATTTTTTCCAAGATGGCTCCCAGCGGCCATCTTGACATTTTCATCTGTCAATTTTACTCTAAAATATGGGATCCACGCATCAATTTCATTACCTCAAGTTTCAATTTTTTGAATTGATCCGTTCAAGAAATCAAAGGGGAGGAGGACATTAAAGAAAAGCACTGTATACGAGAATTATTTTTGCTTGGCTTCTATGACTATGACAGTTTGGCATGGCTGATGATCCAACCCTCTAAGGCAGCTACTACAAAGGGCTCAATTGGACCTAAGTGCGGTCCAACCTTCAGGGATTAAGACGTTTTTTCTCCTTGTTATTAAAAGTATATATGTATTTTTTTGTACCTTACTTCTATCACAGTCATCGGTTTGACATCCAGTCATCAACACAGCCTCATCTTCATTGTACAGAATCGCCTCAACAAATTCGTTATTGCCTTTGCTAGCATCTTCAAACTTTTTGACCAAATTGTCAAGACCCTTAACTGGTTCATATTTAAGCTTTACGTATTTCTTTGCTGGAACCAACCTTATTTCAACTGATGTCAGGATGCCTGAAAGAACAGATTATTGAAAAACTTGTGTCAAGAAAGTTAACTGCTTAAGTTCGCATGTCAGTCTGTATAGAGCATTATTCTGAACCCTGATTTTTTCATTGTGTGTATACAGGGTGTTTTCAATGTTGAGTAATTCATTTTAACTGCTTGCAGGACTCGTCGAAAGGAGTTGATTTATCAAATATCACCTATATAAAAGTTGCATAATAACACAAAAAGTAAAAGATTATAAATTTCAAAAAATTAGAATGTTATTGCACAATTTTTTTGGTATTCTCGACCATTACCGTGTAAAATCTCAGCGTTTTTTGTTTACTACTCTTATGGTTTATCTAAATTTGGCAAACTTTCATCAGTTGAATCAGTCCTTTAAAAGTGCGTATACTTTCATTTGTCCGATTATTTTGTGCGAAAAAATGGCCAATGTTTACTAAAGCAAAGAACTAGTGGATATTATGCTAACATACGGAGACTGCCAACAAAATGCAGCCGCAGGATGCAGGTTGTACGCGGAAATGTTTCCCTTAAGATATCATCCGGCCCCACGGATGTTTGTAAATTTAGTTATTAGACTTCGCAAACAGAACAACGAGGAGGTCACGTTGGAAGACCTGCTTAACCTGAAATAGATAATGAGTTTCCGAATACATGGATCCATTTCTTGGCCTGCTCGCTTCCCGGATTTAACGCCTTCCCATTTTTTCTGTGGGCCCATTTGAAATGGTTAGTGTATCATGATGAAGCAGTAAATACAATGGAAGAAGTTCAACAGCGCACTGTAAATGCTTGTTATTTAATTCGTGGATGATTTTATTTTCAAAGCTTGCAAAGAGTCGTGGATTCGCCGAGCAACATTTTGCGTTAATCAAACAAATGGGGACAATTTTGAACAGTTTTCGTAAAAACGGTAACCATTTTACTTGATAGTTTTTTAAAATAATTTTTAGTAGTGTAAACTAACTCTCTTATTATGCAAATCTTATACAGGGTGTTCAATAAGTACCACGACAAACTTAAGGAGAAGGTAGGCTTTGGACTGACCTCCAAAATAACAAAAACTTACCTGTATAAAAGTGTCACCGTTTTTGAGATATTGGACTTTTTCTTAAATTTAAAAAAAACGAACCTTTTCATCTGTGGTGTTTAGCTACATGTACTAATAAAGTTATACTTCTACATTTTTTCTATAAAATACTTCTAAATAGTTACTTTATCATATACAAATGCAATGTAGTTAAAAGTTATTAAGGAACCATTAAATCCTATTTAGGCAATTCATCGTCTTTCTAAATTTTAACGCGTCTTAGGGCCGTAGTGCCGTAGTGACTTTTCCGGATATGGGTCCCTATACTCAAATGTTTTATACTGTTACACTGAATAACCCCTAGAAGTTTGATCCCTTAGTTCTAAAACACCCTGTATAGAGGCAGGCTTTTTGTTCTATAACACTGATCAACAGCCAAAAAATATCCTAAATAAAATCAACAAAATATTACTATTTTTAATGTGCTAAAACCGGAATGAAACTTATTTTTTCAATATTAGTTCACGTTTTAGAAATACGGTAATTATATGTGTTCCTGCTGTGACAGTGTTAATATACTGTAATTCACAAGAATGCACGTGCTACATTTTTATATTCGGCAAGGAAAGATGATGTAATCGGCATGATTGTGTTACGTTATACATACGTGTACATTATATTGTTTTATATTAGCCATTTTTTCCTCAGTTGGCTGACAGCATTCATGCAACATGTCTCGAAAGTGTGTAAACAATCCAGATCAGTTTTGTTACGTGTGTGGTGATGTGACTTTTGCGTCTCAGAGACGGTCTAATACTCCACTAATAACAAAGGAATATCAGCTTTATTTCGGCTGTAAACTAAGTGATCAAGACAAACAGTGGGCACCCCACATCTGCTGTAATACATGTGCTTCAAGTCTGAGGAGCTGGTTAAATGGCAAAAAACGGTCTATGCGCTTTGCTGTCCCAATGGTTTGGAGAGAGCCTACAAATCATATTAATGATTGTTACTTTTGCATGGTACCTTGTGTTGGACAAGCCACAGGTATGTCCAAGAAAAAAAAATCGGTTATTAACTACCCAAACATACCATCTGCGATGAGACTTGTGCCTCACAGTGACGAAAATTCTATTCCAAAACCCCCCAAATTTTACACTTGCGAATCAGAAAACGAATCAGATCATGGCGATCGAGTGATTCGTCAGGAAGAAGATATGCCATCAACGTCAAGAGATCCTGATTTTATACCGAGCACGTCATGCCACCAACCGCACAAAATAACACAGTCAGAATTAAATGATCTTGTAGAGATTTAGAACTTCCAAAATGTAAGGCAGAGTTACTTGGATCAAGACTGCAGCAGTGGAACTTGTTAGAAGACGATGTTTCGGTATGTGTTTTTCGTAAGCGCCACAAAGACTTAGAACCATTTTTCAATATGGAGAATAACTTGGTTTTCTGCAGTAACATTAACGGCTTACTGGCGGCTTTAAATATAAACTATAACCCAGAAGAATGGAGATTGTTTATAGACAGTTCAACATTGAATTTAAAGGCAGTGTTATTGCATATTGGAAATATTTTACCATCTCTTCCTGTAGGGTATGCAGTTCACATGAAAGAATCATATGACAATATGAAGTACCTATTGACATGCGTAAAATACGATGAGCACCAATGGCATATTTGTGGCGATTTGAAAGTTGTTGCACTTTTACTTTGGCTGCAGCTAGGCTACACAAAGTTTTGCTGTTTTTTGTGTGAATGGGACAGTCGGGCAAAGGCACTTCATTACACCAGACAAAACTGGCCTGTTCGTCAATTCCTAGAGCCAGATCAAAAAAAATGTACAGCATATGCCATTAGTAGATTCGAAAAAAAATTTATTTCCACCACTGCATATCAAGTTGGGCCTAATGAAAAACTTTGTCAAGGCATTAGATAGAGATGGGTCAGCTTTTCAATACCTGCGTCAGAAAGACTAAGTGAGGCAAAGGTTAAAGAAGGTATTTTTGTTGTGCCACAGATTCGAAATATTTTGAAAGATACACAGTTTGAAAACACTTTAACAGGTATTGAAAAAACTGCTTGGAATGATTTCCGTCTGGTGGTCACTAATTTCTTGAGAAATAGAAAGGCTGACAACTATAGAACCCTTGTCAAAAATATGCTGTCATCGTATCAAAAGATGGGCTGTAATATGTCTCTGAAGATACATTTCCTACACTCACACCTGGACTTTTTTCCTGACAATTGCGGAGCCGCAAGTGATGAGCACAGCGAACGTTTTCATCAGGATATTTCAACAATGGAAAAAAGGTACCAGGGAAAGTGGAATCCTTCCATGCTTGCAGACTACTGTTGGACTCTTGGTAGAGATGCTCCAGAAACGATCCATAAAAGAACAGCAAAAAGACAGCGCATATAGTGATTCTTATAAGTATATGAATCTTGTTACTTTTTTTAATATATCCTTAGAAATAAAAAGTTTTTTTTCTAAACCGCAACTAATTTTTTTATTTCATTGTCATTTTTGGATTCAGCGCCCCAAAATTAACAAAGAAGTGCACTTTTCCCACAAGATACAATTAAAAAACTAAAATTTGTTGTCCAGTGATAATCTAAGCTATTGCACAACATGCATGCATTATATGAGAAGGACCGCTTAAAAATAGATGAACTAGGAAGGAGCATTGTTAAAGAGGATGTGTTACCGATAGGTCGTTGATGAACATTGTACCTAAAAATTAGTTTTTCACGCAAATAAATTGGAGTTCCAGAGATAAGTAACTTACGTATGTCTAAACTTTGAAAACACCCTGTAGAGATGACTAAAACACAATGTTATCAATTTTTTATGTGAAAAATTCATTTTTTGTGCATATTTGCTTTCATCGTAACTTGTTAACAAATATTAGTACCCGGAATTGTATGTCAAAATTCCACTTTCATAGTATAATTGAAACTCAATTTGCTATAAAATGAGGTTCCAAGGAAATCAAACGTTTTGAAGAGAAAAAAGTGATAAAAAATTAATAATTCTTCCATAAAAGTGGAATATTCACATACAATTCTAGAGCCGTACTATTGTTTGTTAACAAGTTACGATTGAAGAAAAAATGCACAAAATATGCATTCTTCGTCATCACTTTATAAAAATGGTGAGAAGGATGAGATAAGTAATTATATGCCAGTGTCTATTTCTAGCAAGTTGCGCGGGTGTACTCAAGAGTACCCACCTACCCAAAGTTCCGTAAGACCAAGGCACCGAATAGAAAAGTTCACTATTCTCATCTTTGGAACATCGTACAACAGAACCATCACATAATACAAGTTCGTAGGCAAGACAAGTATGTTGAAACAGTCCATATTTGTGAGATGTGGTTTCAACTCCAGTGCCCATGACCAAACCTCCAACCGTAAGATCATCTATTTCAGGTACTACTGGAATGCTCCACCCTAATGGGATAAGAGTAGCTGTTAGCTGACCCATTGTTACAAGAGGTTCTACTTTCACAATCTAAAAATAAAGTCATGTTTGTCTTCAAAATAGAAATTGGTTTGTAGCACATTATAAGAACTGAATTGTGGAAGGTGTTATTATCATAAGTGATGCCTTACAGTATACTGTTGAAGCTTATGTACAAGGGCTGTCGCAAAGTAAACAGGACTTTTTAAAGATATCCGATACAAGTAGCGCCATATATTATCGGAGGTTAGCGTTGGATAGGTACATCTTTCATTGATGCCCCGTCGCGGAGTTATCGCGCTCAAAGTGACAGTACATTTCAACATCGGTGGAAAAATGAGCAACAAATAAAGAGCCAATATTAAGTTCTGTGTTAAACTTGGTAAAACATTTACCGAAACGCACCAGATGTTGATGCAAGTGTATGCTCATTATTGTTTATCTCCACGAGTGGTTTTCACGGTTCAAAGAGGATCGTGAGTCGCTGGAAGACGATGAACATTCTGGCCAGTTAAAATTTATGATAAAAGATCCAAAATCTTCTTTGAGATACATAGAAATGGAATTAAATATGTTCAGAGAGTCAATCCATCGCATTTTGACCAAGAATTTGGGCATGAGAAAGGTGTGTTCGCGGTTTGGTTCACACAAACTCACGGATGACCAAAAATTGCTTCAATTCAACATTCGAGAGATATCATTGAAGAGGCCAAAAAAGACAAAAACTTTCTGTACAACACTCTGACTGGTGACCAAACGTGGTGTTTTCAATACGATCCCGAAACCAAGCGTCAAAGTGCCGAATGGTAGCACCCAAGCAAGCCAAATCCGAAAAAAAAACCGTTTGGAAAAGTCCAAAGCTGATTTGTTCCTATGATTCGAAGGGAATTATTCACAAAGAATTCATTCCGCCGGGACAAACGGTTGATATTGTGTCTTATCTTGGTGTTATGAGGCGTTTGCTGTAGCGTATTTGCCATGTTCGGTCAGAATATCGCGAAGAAGTTAGCTGGCGCGTATTGCAAAATAATGCAACACCTCATCGATCGACGCTTGTGTCCGATTTTTTTACAAAATAGGGCATTTTATCCATCAAGCACTCCTCATATTGTCCTGATGTGGCACCGTGTGACTATTTTCTGTCCAGTACACTACATTTGGCCATGAAGGGACAGCGGTATGCCGACGTATTTTAAATAAAATAAATTCGATTTTATGAAAAACAAAATGTTTGCTCATTTTTGTTTGTCCTTTGCGACGGACCTTGTATGGATAGGCAATATTGATTCTCAAGTGTCCGAAAAATATCGAGTTTTTCATTACACCATGGGTGCTGGCGGCTCAAAGCATGAATTTAACAGAGATTTTCAAAAATAGTAGTAGGAAAAAAGTGAGAAATAGTGAATTTATACATAAAAATTCAAACGGATGTCGGGAATGGTATGGTGCATTTTCCATAATAATCACTGAATTTGGGGAAATGTTTGGTATTAACTGCTGCTCTATCCACTTTTCAAATAAGTCGGAGGTCATGTCCTCATGATAGTCGGCACATGATTCTTTGATATTTTTGGCAGATAACAGCAAGGCATTAGGTATAAATCCATTTTCACTGCCAGCATGGAGAATAATGATTCGTTTTCCACGGTTGCATGGTGCATTTAAAATGCACTTGTTGCTGTCGTCAACCCAGCCGTACTGCACAACATCATGGGTATCATACCACGTTTCATCCAGGTAAATCAGATTTCTTTTCTGCTCTCTATAGATTTTAACTTTGTGCAAAAATTCTTGGCGCAATTCAACGATTCGAGACGACTCCATAATCACCATTCTTTTATCTAATTTTTTGTATTGAAAACCACACAGTTTTACAATACAGTGCAGTGAGTCTAAGCATTTGTAATTATAAAAATCTTCAGGATAATCTTTTAATTTATCCCGTATCATTTCCAACGTGGGCACCAAATTTTCTTTATAAAATCCGTATATTATACGACGAATATCTTCCTGAAAACCCACGTCTATTCTTTTTAATTTTTGCCCTATGCGCTTTCTGTGGAAGGAATGGTTGACTACATCTCCCCTTTTTATAACCCGATAAATGGTAGACCGACTGATTTTTGTCAGGATACAAATTCTGTTTAAAATTTGATTTTGCGAGGAATCTGGATTTTCGTTTTTCAGACAATCATACATATTTAGGATTACGCTTTGGGTCTGTTCCTCTAAATCTTTATGAAAGAATCCTGCCTGCACAGGTTCATCAACAATCTCCTCGTGGCTTGGAGCATTTTCCCAAGGTCTCCAAAGAGCCATATTTAGGACACACAAGAACAATCAACACAACAATTAAATCAACAAGTAAACTGAGTATTCAAAAGTCAAAAACACACGGCACTGGCTAAACTGTTTCAATTTTCAGTAGCCACCTGCACTTGTTCGGAGCTCTGAAATACACGCTTTCTCATTGGCTATGTCCACGCATAGGCGTGCTTTACTCCACGTGGACCGGTGAAACTGCCTTTGATCTTATACGGGGAATATTTGCTGCGAAATTTGGCGATTTTTGCAGCAACAGAGCGTGCTAAATATAGATATATAAAACGCACCCGGTATTTCGCAGTGTTTCAAGTGACTTCAGATAAAGTATAACTATAGAAATTAAAAGCGCCGTCTTGCGGCGGTTGACATATTTGGTTTGAAATGACATTTTGCTTATTGTGTTTCTATCAAGCCCTTTCATCTGATGCCCATATTCTAGGGGTGACTATGGAAATCACGAATCTCTCAATTGAGGCCTCCGTCATATTGTACTTAGAATATCGTCAGTTTGTTTATTGCGTTTCTCTCATCAAGCTCTTCCATTTGATATATCATAGACTATGGAAATGGTAAATCGCTGTTATGTAGCACACGCCATATTAGATTTAAAATGGCAGCAGCTAATTCAGTATGTATTGTCAAACGAGCCAGACTGGCATATAAAATTTCAGCTCGATTGGTTCAAAATTCAGTTACAGGATTTGTCCCACACATGCATACTAACGAACTAACACAAGGCTTGTAAAAAGTGCCACTGATAATGCAATTTATATTGAAATCCCAGCCCAAATTGAGCCAGGAGAAAATGGAAACGTTCAAGGTAAATTCATATTTTCTGTCTCTCTAAAAATCGTATGGATCGCCAAACAACTAAGTAACATTTCATTAGTTACCTAAATGCACAACTTTGCCTTCATAAACGATTTTGTATTGTACTGCTTACCGTTTCCGCATTTTAAATCCCTAATGCATATGCATATAGAGTGTTCTTAGCAAGGCTGAATTGAAATTCAACGTAGACTTCAACTATACCTAATAATTTCTCATGGATATCTTTATAAAAAAAACACTTCATTTAATTTCGTGGGGCTTGAGAGAACGAGGGCAGTTCGCTTGAAAACGGTCATAAGCTACAATATCTACAATGAGAGCGAAAGTAGTGAGAAAAGTGAATGTTCTCAATGAAAAGTGAGGAAAATGAGATGGATTTAAAAAAGTGAGTCTCTAGCATCCCATACTCTAGCTTTGACATTATGGTTGTTTTATGTAGATCTAACATGCACCCCACTTGATGCTTCCCAACCATCTGATTATATTCACGGCTTTCCTGCATCTGTAAACTAGATCTGCAATGTGAGCTTTCCAAAGTAATTTCGAGTCAAAAGTCACTCCCAAGAATTTTATTTGGTCTACTCATATTTTAGTTTGATTTTTTGCTTTCCGCCATCTGTCTCCATGTGATGTACTGATGATAGATAGCATGAAATAATAATATGGTTTGTTATGGTTGCAGAGATAGAAAGCCAATAGATCCTACTCAGCTTTTCAAGTCAAACACTACGAGAAAAGTACAGAAACTACTAGTACATTTAGTATTTCTGCCCCCACCAGCAATCATATAAGTAATCTATTGCCCCGTGAGGAGTCAATCAAAATTTAAGGGCAGAAAGGGCTGCTGAAATCAAGCGCTCCTCTAGATTCTGTTCACTGAAATCATGACAACTCTACTGCCTTTTTAAATTTTGACACCAATACATTTCCTGTATGATTACAATTACAAAATACATCATCATTGATCACGTTATTTACACACTGCTTATGTTTGCAAACATTGCGAGGCCTGATTCCAAGATTCAGACGTCTGAAAGATTTCCTGAGCGAATATCGCTTAAAGATACTGTGCACAACATTGGCAGAAACCGAATGACCGCACGAAATTCGCGGGCAAAGTTGCAGCGTTGGGAACCATATTCTTGAGGCAGCCCTCGTACCCATCTCCATATAATATAAGACTAAAGGCCTATTCATACTCAGCCGTGACGTGACAGTGCTGTGACCGGCACGTGACCCGCCCGGCGAAACTGAAAACATTCTTCCTTGAATTTGGATGAACTGATTCACACTATACCAGCACGTGGAAGTGGCCGTGTTCTCAGTGCCCTCGACGACGCCATACCGTGATCATCGCATGGTTTTGGAACGATATTTTTCGATTTTCACGGCCGTGTTTTTAGGTAATTTCGTGAATATACTAAGTGACATATAAATCCGAACACCCAGTTTAAATGGTCATATTTTAACAAAATTTTGTATAAGTACTAAATGAAGCATAATAAGTGAATGATAAAAATTTCAAAATGATTGCACTGCTTTAAAGCCCTTTGACCTTTAATAATGTGTGGATGCACCCTGAGGTGCTACGCATTCTCCAACGCGCCTAGGCATGCTTCTGATCAGGTGGTCAATGTCCTCCTGTGGTATCTCATTCCAGGCAACCACCAACTCCTCTCGAAGTGCTTCTAGAGTCTGAGGAGGACGTTGCAAATTGAGCAATCTCCTACCCATCATATCCCACACGTGCTCAATTGGGGATAAGTCGGGAGATCTTGGTGGCCATGGTAACAATGTGACATCATTATGTTGAAAGAAGTCTATTGTGACTCTTGCAACATGTGGTCGGGCATTATCTTGTTGGAAAGTTGGATCTGCCAGGGTGTCAAGATAGGGTAAAAGATGGGGTTCTAGAACTTCGTGGATATAACGCTGCGCGTTCATGTTACCTCTGATGAAGATTAAAGGTGACCTGGAACCATAAGCTATAGCACCCCAAACCATAACTCCAACAGTGTGATGAACATGTCTTTCAACAAAAAACTGTGGATTCCTCCTTTCACCACGTGGCCTTCTAACCCTGGCACGACCATCGTGCATGCCTAAACAAAATCGAGACTCGTCACTAAGGACAATACTGTTCCATTCCTGATCCCAGAGTGACCGTTGTCAAGGCGATTACGTCGGTGTTCTCGAGTTAAAGGGAGGACCCAGTGTGGCCGGTATGAAGACAAGCCAAAACTTCTCATTCGTCGGTAAACACTTCGCATACCAATAGGTCTTCCGTGTTCTGCAAATCATTCATTTGTAATGGACCTGGTAGTGGAGAAACGGTCCCTTAAGGCCAATAATCTTAGGCGGCGATCTTCACGGCCTGTTGTTCTACGGCGGCGTCCAGTGCCCCTTGCTCTTTGCGTACGGCCTTCTCGAAGCCATGCCTGACAACACCTAACCACAGTGTCTACACTTCTTTGCACTCTAACTGCAATTGCCCGAAAAGAAAGTCCAGCTTCCCGAAGTCCCACTATACGGCCCCTATCAAACTCACTAAGTTGACGAAATCGTACAGGTCTCTGTACTCTAGGCATCGTAACCGATCGTAAAGGATGTCAAGAACCAAAATCCGCCAACGTTGATTCTTTACTGCGGCTGAAATATTCATTTTTAGAGCGTTAGTGAATTAAAAAAAAGCAGTATAAGAACCGGAATGTCCAACTGATAAGGCTGAAAATTTTTTTCACTTGTTATTTACAGTAAGATAAATACATTCACCAACTTTTATTAAAATAAAACCATTTAAACTGGGTGTTCGGATTTATATGTCACTTAGTATATTTTGGTATAATTGGTCAAAAACATGAATGATGAAAAACTAATTGAATTCGTACGCGTACGTCCAGTCAAATTCAAAATATAGGGATTTCTTCTTCTTCATCTTTCGTAGATGGTAGACGGTCTCTGACTGTGAAACGCGGAGGTACCACCCGGCGGATCTCCTAGGCAGGGCCAGAATGTATGCAAGTTGCATGCACACGTGTTCCCTCGCCAGAGTCCCTGTGGCGTACCCCCCTTCCCCTGTGTTCCTCCTATAGGACCACGGAACCCCATGGGTGTTTAGGCCTTAGGCCTTCGTGGTAATTGGAGTATAAAAAAAATCCAGAATTAATGCAATAATTGCAAGTTCATCCTCTGAAAATTTTGCCATCTTTTGCCTCACGTGAACACAAATGCACTGTCAGAGTACGGAGAAAAATACTGACCGGTGTGAATTGAAAACACTGTGAGCTCACGTCAGCGAGAATCACTGGCACGTCAGGGCTGAGTGTAAATAGACCTTTAAACGTTAGACTTCAATATTTTCTGCTTGCTTACCTGCTTTTTAACATCTATATTCAAAATGTCTACTAAGTTTACTTCGAGATTATACATCGTACTTTTATAGGCAGGTCTTCTGAAAGAGACAGTTTGCCATCCTGGTCTAGCAGTGCACATTTTTGTTTTTCTTCCATCTTTGATCCACTGTAATATCTGAATTAAAAATAAAATTGTTGTCAGAAAAATTTATAGACATAAAAGAAAGCTCTGACTCCGTATGTATTACGGTTGGCTCTGTAAGAATTTTTGTACTAACGTCTCGAATCATTGGGGTTGGAACCGTATAAATATATTAATCCTAAAAATATGAGATATAGCCCCAACCCCAAAATTTTTAACCCTTGCAAACATTTTTCTGAAAGGAGGAGCCTTTGAAAAGTCAACAAAAGAAGTTTGAGTAAGTTTTGTGTTTTGCCTGAAGCGCCACCGGCAATGGACCAATTTTCACGTCTTTCTGTATTATTGAACTTTGACATATACTGGGTGTTTCAGAATTAAGGGATCAAACTTCTAGGGGTTATTCAGTGTAAAAGTAGAAAACATTTGAGTATAGGGACCCATATCCGGAAAAGTGTCACTACGGCCCTAAGTCGCGTTAAAATTTAGAAAGACGATGAATTGCCTAAATAGGAATTATTGCATTTAATTTTTGCCTTTTGTACATGATATCATCACAAAAATTGTTCAAAATGTCTTCCACCAACCTGAATACACCGATTTAAACGTCGCACACGATTTCGGCGGACTTTACTAAAAATTTGATACTGCTGTAATTTGTCCAATTAAGTCTTTCTCTGTTTCTACTGGAGTTTCGTAAACCAAAGACTTCACATGTACCCACAGGAAAAAATCTAGCGACGTTGAATCGGGTGACCTAGGAGGCCAAGAAACTGTTCCACCTCTGGCAATCCAACGGTGCCCAAAACGCTGAGCGAAATACTCACGAACTTGTACGGCAAAGTGAGCCGGCACTCCATCATGTTGAAACCACATTTGCTGTCGAACGTTCAATGGAACATTTTCAAGAAGTTCTGGAAGAACTTCCTTCAAGAAACGCCGGTAAATAGGTCCTGTTAACCGTTCCGGTAGAAGGTTTGGCCCAATCAAATAATCATCAACAATGCCTGCCCATACGTTGACAGACCAACGTTGCCGATGTTTTCTAGGAAAAATTGCATAGCGATTTTTTTTGTCCCAAACGTGGCTTTTGCTACTATTAAAAATACCGTCTCTTGTGAAAGAAGCTTCATCGGTCCATAAAAATTTGGTTGTGCAGCGATTTAATGAAAAAGCCATTGACAAAATTGAATTCTAGGATGATAATCGGCTACAGTCAATCCTTGAACTTTCTGGAAGTGGTAAGGATAAAGTTGTTGCTCGTATAGCACCCGCCAGACGGAAGCGTTACTCATATTGAGATGCTCAGCAATGTGACGTGTGCTACTTGATGCGACCGTTCTTACGGTTCGAGCAACACTACTATTATGCATGTTGGTTTAAACATGCCTGTCTCGGAGAGCCGCTGATGAATAGCAATAAACTTTTTGTATCCAGGAAGCTGTCGTTCCGGATAACGTTCTTGATACAACCGCGCTGCTGCTCGTGCATTGCAGCTTGTTGCTCCGTATGCCAAATGCATATCCGCCAATTCTTGATTGGTAAAGTTTTCCATTAGCAACAATTAATTTTTGTTAAATTCTTGAAAACTTCACAACTACGATAGCACGGCTAAGGCGATATGGAATGCAGATACAAAAAACAATCTCTGTTATCGTTTTTAAAGATAACAACACACAAGCGCCGGATATGGGTCCCTATACTCAAATGTTTTCTACTGTTACACTGAATAACCCCTACAAGTTTGATCCCATAGTTCTGAAACACCCTGTATTATCCAGATAAATTTTCATAAAATTTTACCAGTCTCCAAAATATTGTGTGCGTGATCTTTTTCATTATTTTATATGTCCGATTTCTCGAAAAATCATTCGCCGCTCGGATACAATAAAGCCCTCTTCCTGACGTCCCTTTGTTGTTGTGAACAGGTTAAATTCGATATTATTATTTATCGATCGCTGATAAATAATATGCTGATAAATGTCATTAACAATTTATTAAAAATTTATTGATAATGCCGACACCAACGCAGCGAGATACAATGTTATTAAAGCGCACTGATTATACAGCGTGGATTCATTGATTAAATAATATGAGAGTAAAAAATTTACATGGGCGGGGTTAAAACAGTTATCCAAAAGGGGCAGTGTAAAGATAATGCAGTGCTCAAAAGTGCCCCCCCCCCTCGCAGGGCGGTGCCAGGCGGGGCCTTATCTTGTTCATAGGACTTATATACAAGCCGGAAACGGGGGAGAGGCCAAGACATAGTAATCAGAACATATAAAAAATCTAAGTCGTGTAGTTCTCAAATTGTAGACTTGAAAAAGTCGGAAAAATATTCACCCTGTGATGATCTTTTAGTTCCCGTCACTACGAATTTCAATTTTTCTTTGATGGGGTGACGGACATTGTAATTCTAAGTAGTGACAGCAGGACAGATGCAACTCCACTTTTATTAATTCATGATTGTGTAATGCCACCTGATCTGTGTACATCGTACAGTACGTTAAGTTTTGCATATGGAAATAAAACAGCACGGTGGGTAGTTTTAAATGATATTATTGTTTTTCGAAGTATTCTCCACGAAGATTAATACACTCGTTTGCTGGCAGATCCAAAACGGCATTTTTGAATGCGTCAACTGCTTCTCCTTGTGACTGGAACCTTTGACCACGCAGTCTGTTTTTAATTTTGACACAAATGTCGCGACCATCTTTTTCGAAACACTTCGAGAACGGATGACTTTTGTTGGCTTTCCTTCACTTTGGAACGCCCAAACAGCCGACTGTCGTTTATTTTCTGGTTCATAACAGTAAATCCACGTTTCATCACCACTAACAATGCTGTACACATTTCTTGAGTTTCCAGAATTGAAACGGTCTAGCGTTTTTTGACACCAATAACCCTGGCTGCTTTCTGCTCTTCAGTCAACAGAAACTAATTTTTTTACTCCTAATTCTTCATGTAAATTTTTTTGAATTGAGGTCTTTGAGATCTTCAAGGACACCTCAATCTTGCGATATGTCACATCTCTATCTTCAATGATGAGTTTGCGCACAGCATCGACGTTTTCCTGGGTGACTGCCGTGTTTGGTGCACCCACCCTGGGATCGTCGCTAAGACTCACCTTCTACGTTAGAATTCTCCATACCAACGGGAAATTGTCGACTGATGTGGCGCTTCGTTGCCGAAAACAGACAGTAACTCAGCAAGGCATTCTTGTTGCGATAATTGTCTCTGAAAGTTGTAATAAATTATGGCGCAAAAATGTTGAGTTCCATTTTTCTAATGACTTGGTGACACTTAAAAATTCACTGTAGTGAGAACACTGCACGTATTGTTGTGAAACTTTGAATTTAAGTTTACTAAAGAGTGAGGTTAATATTCAGTATTGACGTTCGATCCGCGCGGCCTACTATGTTTCTATATGCAAAACTTAAAAGACAGCCCTCGTAATACTCCAACATGCACCTCATTTATGGGGAGTGTAGATGCAATGCTAGTGCTGCAGGTTTTATCGTGAGAGGTATCCAAATCCTGCTCGTCATCTCGGACACCGAGCTTTTGTGAATGTGCACCGTTTACTTTCGAAGGAACGATTCCCAAATCTAGCACATGGTGAAGAAAGAATTTCATTTCCTTACGAAGACGTCGTACTACAAGCAGTCGAAGAAGACCCGAGTACTTCAGTATGTCACATAAAAGGTGTTTCGATAAGGACGCAATATTTCAAGGTTCTATGAAACAAGATATTTCGTAACAAACAACTGAAATATTTATTGGATTATGGTGTATACGCCTTGGAATTATGTATGGAACAGCGCGTAAGGTAAATGGCTGCCAAGGCTCCGCTAGCACATGCGTACTCTTATAATGAAATTTGTGATAACATTTTGAACATATGTCGTTGTCTCTCGTTGATATAGCGTCTGGTTTCAGCTTTCAATGCTTCGGTGCTTGCAGGCTCGTTGGCATAAGCTTGTGACTTCAGATAACCCCATAGCCAATTCTGATCACCAAACCGGGAGATGACTCGACCAGGAGCAAACTCGTGCAAAACTGTCAATGTTTCATGAGCAGTATGGCATGTGGCACCATGCTGCTGAAACCATATGTCATCAAGAGCTATGACTGCTATTGTGGCTCAAACTGAGTTACCATTGCACGATAACGTTCGCCATTCACTGTTAGTCCTCAAAAACGGTCTAATAATCCCTCCAGACCATTCTGCACACCAAACAGTGACACGTTTTGGATGCGTGGCTTTCTCATTAATTACTCTTGGATTCTCTGTGCCCCAAATGCGGCAGTCTTGTCTATTGACGAAAAATGATTTTGTCTACAAAATCACCATTCACATACTGTTGACCAAGGATCCAATTGCTAAGCTCTCTTCGCTGTGCATGGGCTGACCGCTGCGAGCTCGTCTCGTATGCTTCACATAATTAGCTGAACCAGTACTTTCAAATTTTTTGATTATTCTTTCAACAGTGGATGGGGTAGGAACATTGTTGTTGAATTATGTCAATTAAACTTTTACCACTTTGGTAATAATTTTTCTATTGTATAATGAATCGTTTTCATCAACTCCCACCTGTCTACTATTGATCTGTCATGTCACAAACATTATGACATTATATTGATACACCCTTTAGAAACAAGCACGGGAGTGCCCAAAAGGACAGCTCACCGATTCTTGCGAAAGAACGAGCTCCACCGTACCACGTACCTACAGCGAACACAATCTCTTCAACCCCGGGATTATCTTCCAAGATATAAGTTTTGTCAAACATTGTTACAGAGACACACACACACACACACACACACATTAATATAAGACAATAATAACAGTATCGTTTTAAAGTAAACATGTGGACCGGGATTTTGTGGGAGAATTATTGTGCCCTTTGAGCTGGCAGGGTTCTTGAATGGCGCAATTTATTTAGACTTTTTACAAAGTCGTATTGCTAATTTATTGGGAGACGTGTCACTAAGCATTTACAGAGATTCTCTTTCAAAGAAAAAATGAAATGAAA